AACTATGGCGCCACACACACACACACACACACACAAAAAAAAAAAAAAAATAACTATGGCGCTTCCGCAGTGAGTGCGAAGCATGTGGCGTTGATGTCCAGGTGCTGCTGGAGTTTTATACTTCGCTGATCTGCATTCCAGACATCTTCTGTTGGTTATGGGCTGGTCCCCTTGCCTTTGTTTGCTTGCTTGAAGCCTACGGACTCTCCTTGGATCTGGCTGTTTGAGGGATTAACTGACACCTGACCTAACGACTCTTGTGATCTTGGCTGAGGTTTGTGGTGCCTTCTAAGGAAAGACTCTTCATCCCATAACTGTTATCTCCTAGGGACTTCCTACCACAATCTGCTTAACTAGCCTGCCTAGGCCTCTGCAGTCATGGTACAAACTACTACAAACGAGATCTACTCTTCAAGAGTATACATGACTATTGTACAAGTATCTGGTCTGGAACCACTAATGGAACACGGAATGGGACTTGGGACTAGGACCTGGAACTTGGGACTGGGGCCCGAGACTCTAGACTGGGACTTGGGACTACGACCTGGGACTTGAGACTGGGACTCATGACTAAATCAGGGGTACTTTGATTCATTTCACTCCTGCCGGCCTCAATTTGAAGTCCTCTGAGAAGTTTCACCTATCTGCGAACCTGATTCCTCTCAAGGCTTGTTCATAATGAGATCCGATCCGAGGTGCAGTCTCTACCACCTGGTCCTTAGGGAACCACCTATCCTCGTCCGGATCTTGACATTGCCATCTAACCTTGAATTGCTTCTGTCGTCTGCCTCTTCGACCTGATCTGAGGGTATCATGATCTACAAGCCGATCAATGTCATAATTTCCATCTATATCAGGAGGATTCATAGATGGTCTAGAGGGGAACGACTTGCCACTATCCACAGGTAGCAGCTTAGATGCATGAAATACGGGGTAGTTTCTAAGATGTAGGGAAACTTCCACTTTGTAGGATGGGTCGTCTACATCTCCCTTGACGTCAATGATCTCTCACGGCCCTCTATATGCGGAGTAAATTTTGAGAGATCGCTTCTTCAGGCACAAACTCCTTGGACTTCACCTACACTAGATTTCCAGCAGCAAACTGTGAAGGGTGTCTATGCTTGTTGGCTTGTTTAATCATTTTATGCTGTAGATATATGTCTAATTCTTTCCTTGCCTTTTTGCAGGTCTCTCTCCTACTGCAGTGCAAACTCGCATGTGCCGAGTGGCAATAGGTGCACCTGATCAGCATTCAGGCAGTCAATTGGTCTACGTGGCTGCCATCCTTTATGCAGCTGATTCGGGGTTCGGTCTGTGGACAAGTGCACTGAGTTGTTGTATGCTATTGCCACGCGAGGTAAGTTCTCGTCCCAATCAACCTGATTTGGTCTAATGTACATCTGGAGAGTTTGCTGCAGTATCTCATTCATCTGTTCAGTCTGTGTGGCATACTGCGTAGCCACATGGGCCCTGCAGGGCCCGTCCCGGACATTCAGCCTAAAAGCCTAAAACTTAGGGCTTACAGGCCCCGGTCGTTTCAGCCAGAAAGCTGAAAAACGAGGGCCTGCAGGCCCTACTCCGTTTCAGCCTATTTCTGGGTCTTTCAGACCCAGAGTTTTTCCAGCCTGAAACGGAGGGCCATTTTCAGGCCCTCATTGTTTCGACCTACCCCTAAGACTCAGGCACGTAAACAGGGATGCGGAACAGGCCAGAAATAGCCTGTTCCTCACGAGCTTGAGCAGGAGCTGCAGCTGCAGCCCCTGCCTCCCCTCGGCATTGGCAAGAGCAGCCTCCTGGACTGCTCGCACGAGTCAGGAGGCACACACCCGAGTAGTACATAGGACTGTCCTAGGCACTTCACGGGTAGGTAGTCAGACAGTAGTCAGGTGTAGTCTTCA